GAGGCTGCAGTGCTTGAGGGCACTCTGCGGTCAAGGCAAAGCTGGGACGAGAACTTCTGTCTTAGTCGCTCCTCAAGGGCATGTGTTAAGCAGACCCAGGGAGTCTTGCATTTAGTCTTCAGCCCAGCCACTAACGGAGGCTTCAGCTCTTTGCCTGATGTCATTTGTTTTGCAGCAAACCCTGCCTGTGCCCGAGTGCTGGGATGCAGAAGTCTGCCCAGGGAGTGGGCTCACTCTTGAGGGCTGACAACAGCCCGGGGCAGTCCCAGCCCCTTGGCAAAGCCTTGTGGATCTCGCCTTTGCTGTGCCCCCTCATCTCTCGCTATCCTGGCACCACTGTTCCACCTGGCACCACCAATGGCAATTTCTAGAGCACATCATGACCTGCAAGTGTGGAATGCCCACAGGGTGTATGTGTCCTCCCAGGGAGCAGGGTGAGAGGTCTTGGAGCCATCAGATGTCCAGGGCTTGCTGGTGAGATCTGTGACCCCCTGGCCTGGAGTGGATGGTTGGGGCGGGGATGAAACCTGATGCCAGCTTAGATGACTTGGGTTTAGAAACCCAAACCTTCCCTCTGGGGCTGGAACATATTCCCCAGAGTCTGTTCCTGGGTGAAGACTGACTCTCCTTTGGACCTGCCAGGTTCCAATTCACTGTCCTGAGGAAGCTGAATCCCTACAGGGGGTTGAGCTGGCTTAGTCCTGGGGCTCTTCCAAAAAACCTTGGGAAGTCCCGGGACTCCTGGGACAGCATGAAAAAAGATCAGGGAAGACCCTCACTGTAGAGGCCTAAAGACACCCCATTCCTAGGTCCAAGGCTGGGAAGAGCTTTCTCTGGACAAGACTCAGGTGGGAGTGGGAATAGGGAGGATGTGGTTTATTCCTTAGACTTGAGCTTATCTTGGTGCCAAGATCTTTGAATCCGGCACAAGAAAAGGAGAAGGGAAATGCTGGGGCAGTTTTTCTGGCAGGGCTGTAGGCAGAGTACACATTTATGGAACTTCCTCCTTGGTTCTGGAGGGCCTGATATCATTTTGGAAAAGTACAGAGAGCACTTGGGCATGAGCATCTCTTCTTGAAAATGACAGATACTTCAGCCCTGGCTGGTAGCTCAGTTGATTAGAGCATCGTCCCCATACACCAAGGTTGCTGGTTTGATCTCTGGTCAGGGCACATACAAAAAGCAACTAATGAGTGCATAAATAAGTGGAACAACAAATCCATGTTTCTCTCTAAGAAAAAACAATAATTTCTTTAAAAGTTACCAAAAAAAAAAAGAAAGAAAGAAAATGACAGATAATGGTGGAGGTTTTTGCTCTAGATAAACTTTGAGACTCTGTGACACCACACCATTCAGAACACACGCAGGCATACAGAGGCTCTGCACTGGGCCTTCCCGACACTGGCCTTCCTGACCTGTGTATGATTTGCACTTTAGCTGTAACACATCAAGACTCTTAAACTCCCTCAAAATGGAGTTCTGTCAATTCTTCAGAGTGATTCTAAGCTTTCTTAGTGTGGTGATGGGAAGGACAGACCTCCTCTAAAATGATGAGCATTAGGGTGGCAGTGCTGGCCTCCTTTGCTAGGTATGATCAATGTATGTCTTACTTGACCTTGGGGCGCTCAGAGGACCCCAGACCACGGGAGACCTGCTGTATTTGCTTATTTGGGGCTGAGGACTGCTTTTCTCCAGGTTGGACCATCCCCCAATTTCCATCTGGCCTCTACCATTCATTTCTGTGAATGGAGGTTGGGGACAGGCAAGGGGAGAACCTGGGGAAAATAGGGAGCAGCAGACATTGCTGGGCAGTGGGCAGGAGGCTAGATGGGAGCTCGCTCTTAGGGATGAGGGCTGGCCGGCCAAAGCTGCACCTAGTTTGTGCTTTAGGTGGTGGTGGTCCTGGGAGAAATTCCCTTTTCCTCATCCTTTCACCTTGACCCTATGAGAAGTCAGGGATAGGGCTGGCGGTGTCTGGCTGGACTTCCTCAGGCCCAGGGCAAGCAATGGGGCAATGGCTGTACAACCCATGGCCACAGCTTACAGGTTTCTGTGAATCTTGTTCTCCTGAGCGGGAGGGGGCAGGCCTTTATTCTTTTTTTAATAGATTTTTTTTTTTTACAACATTTTTAGATTTATAGAAAAATTGAGAAGGTAGTACAGAGAGTTCCCATATACCCCACACCCAGTCTCCCCTGTTACTAACAACTTTCACTAGTATGATAAATTTGTCATAAGTAATGGACCACTATTGACACGTTATTAACTGAAGTCCATAGTTTCTTTAGATTTCCTCCATTTTCCCTTCTGTCTTTTCCCTGTTCCAGCATCTTATCTCCGACGCCGTATTACATTTAATTGTCACTTCTCCTGGGCTCTTCTTAGCATAACAGTTCCTCAGACTTTATTTTGTTGCTCATACTGTTCCACCTTTGGCCAACGGTAACTCTTTCATTTGGCTCCTGTGTGCTTTTGACATATCCCACCAATGTAGGTTTGTTGTTGTTTGTGCCTTACTTCCTGGCACTAACAAGACACTCCAGGCTCGTCTTGTCTATTTCCTGCTCCAATCCTAGAATCAACCATATCTCCGAGGCCCTCTGGCTTCTTTTGAAAATTACATTAGAAACCAAGAGCAGGGTGCCAGGTGTGCTCATTGCTGTTGGGGTGTCATTGCTTCTAGGCCCTCTCAGCTGATAGAGCAAGGAAATATGTGTGTTTACACCAATGCATGCATATACACATATCTATAAATACTTATTTATTTAACAATTTATATTAAGCGGGGCATGAGTTCAAAAGGATGTCTTCAACTCTAATTCATTACCACATGGGTCAGGGGCAGTGCTTTTTATCTCAGAACCATCCTCTCCCGCACCAAACACAACATTCATCCCTATTGTTTGGTTTTTTGGAAGCATATTTTCAGAAATGAGTCACATCTGATAGTGAGAGCTTACCCATAATTAGACCTAAATGTACTTCTTGAAAATGAAAAAAGTTTATTTTTTAATGCTAAAAGTAAATGAAAAAATGTTAACACATGATTATCAGTGAATTCACCTCAAGTATCAGATTTATAAAAAGGCTACTTGAAAGAGAAGTGTTTTCTCCTGGTAAAGACTAGCCAGGAAAACTCTGAAATAGATCAATGAAGGATGTGTCAGCCCCATCAGAAAGTAAAATATGGCAGATTGTATTTTCCCAAATCGGCCAAGACAGTCTGTTCTGTGCCACATGTTTTTCTTACAGTGTGACCTTGACATTTGTCCCACTGAGAGGATTTGCATGGCATTGACTCACTTGTCATCAAATGAAGGCAGAGGATGTGATGCTGCATGGGTCAGAAAGATGAGGCAGCTTCTAGTTTGTTCTTGGAAACACTTGCACTGTAACTCTGAGCTGCCATGTAAACAGTCCAATGTCTCTGAAGCCACCTGCTGAGAGGAAGCCCAAACTAGCTCATACAGAGAGGCCACATCAAGAAACGCCGAAGCTACGAGAGGAGAAAGAGATGCTCCCCACCAAGAGTTTCCTGAATTCTTGACTTAAGGAGACCATGCGATATAATCAAACAATTGTTGTTTTAAATGACTAAGCTCTGGGGTGATTTATTTCACAGTAATATTTGCTGGAACATAAAACATATTATATATAAAGTCTCAATAATTAAAACATTGTGGTACTTGCACCGAAATAGACCAATAGAAGAGAAAAAACAGAAATGGACCCAAATGCACATAGGGATTTAGCATACATAAAAAGTGGCATTTCAAATCAGCGGGAAAAATTGGTCTTTTTAATAAATGATGTTGCAACAACTGGTGCCAGTCTATAAAACATAAAGTTGGATCTATAGTTTACATCATGCATATTAAGATAAACTCCAAATGGATCTAAGATTTAAACAAAAAAGTCAAACCCACAAAAGAACTAGAAGAAAACATGGGTGAACTACCTTATAACTTTGGAGGGGGTAACATCTCTAACTAAGCCTCAAAATCCACAGTCCTTAAAAGAAAAGATTAATGAAATTTACTATATATTTAAAAAAAAACCCTGAAAGGCAACAGTAAGAGACAAATGTAAAAAATATTTATAACTCATTTTACAGATTAGGAATCAATAAAAACATAAAATCCAATGGATAAATGGACAAAGATGATGAAAAAGATAACATGTTAACACAGTTTTATGATTATGGAAAGTTTATAGAAAAGTAAATACAAATGGCCTTTTTAGTCTTGCAGATATGGTGGTGGAATTGAGACCCATTTGAGTGAAATTGTTATGCAAATAATGCGCACACACAACCACTGGTGAAATTTAAGGCTGGGTTGACTTAGGGGAAGACAATTATGCTCTCCAACTGCCCCTCCAAATTGACATCAAGGCCATCTGGATAGAGGTGTGAAGTGGTTCCTCTTCTAAGTAGCAGAGACTCCTTCTAAGGAAGCCTGCCAGACGAGGGTGGACTACCTGGGTGTCCCTGCATTTATTTCTCAAAATAAACAGAGTGAGAGCTCCATCTTTGCTTTGTGGGTTTAAGTCAAGCTATTATATATAAACTGTAAAGTCAGTATGTGAAGTTGAATGCTGCTTTGTTTTCCTCAGTGATTTTAAAGGAAATGGGTAGTTCCAATATGCCTCCCCCACCCCCTTTACATTCCTATGTTCTCCTAAAGCATGCCCTTGTGTCTTGGCTCCTAGAATATTTTGAAAAGTATTTAAGATATTTCTTTGTTATGTGTAACCCCAAATGCGGGTGTCTTTATATATTTCATAAGTGCTTTAACTCTCTACTGTTTGTCACGATTGCTTTTTGAAGAACCAAGTAAAATGTTGCCCAAACATTACAAAATTTTCTTCTGGTTGAAATAAGCAACATGTTGACCCAATTCCTAAGTTCTCTCTTTGCCTGAAATCACTTTACCGATAAATCATTGTTCATGTTGATCAGCAAAGGAAAATAAAAGAAAAAGTAATACTTTTCCTTTTTTTTTAGGTTAAGAGTTGGCAACAATGGTACTTTCACTTAACTCCAGTAGCAACTAAAGCCACCTGTCAATTCAAAAACAGTTTTTGTTGTTCTTCCCGGAAACACTTCCATAGTGAGAGGAAGCTGTCAGCAGATGCTCTTCGAGCATCGGGCTGAGCTATGTTCCTGAGGTGAGCAAGCGAGCAAGCGAGCAAGCGTGTGTTTCACTCTGGGCCTGTGAGATGTGCCAGGTGTTTAAACAAGGGCTGCGATGAGGACTGTAGATTACTTGGAATCCATTGTATTCTTTTTCCTTGTTGGAAAAAGAAAGCTCCTGAAAACAAGCCCTTATTTAAAGGAAGCCCCAGTTAATCCAACAAAGCTTTGAATAAATTCCCTTTCATACAAACTGCTTGACAAAAACCATTTGGCCCCAAGGAGCCCATTGAGGCCAGAAGCTGGAATCAACACCCCACAGAGGGCTCAGACAGTTCAAAACTCAGGCCCTACTTAAAACATAACAGACTCTTACTGAACTTGAGCAGAATGAGATTTACCTGATCACGCAAGCAGCGGCCTTCTGAAGAGCACCGACACACCTCACCCGCAATGAAGAACAGTTATGGAACATTTGCAGGTGGCAGGAAACGGTGCTCATGCCGCCTTCATGGACTCTCCACCTTTTGAGGTAGGTTTCATTATTATTATATTCATTTTACAGATGAGGACATCAGTGCTTTCTAAGGTTAGCTGAGTGGTAGAGCTCAACTCCGACCCAGATAATTTGACCCATAACCAGGCCTGCTAGATGGTCCTACCCAGATAGCAAGCAGGTTAAAAGTCTCTGCCAGCATTTATAGGTGGGTGGCTATGAATGTCACCCCCCAAACTCTTAAAATGATTTAAGAAGGCCAATCATTATGTACTTAAAAAGCATTAGAGATTTTATTCTGGAAAAATAATAAGATCAATTCTGTGCTGTGTTATGATCGAGTGGGGCCTCTTTAAAAGGCAAAGATGGACCAGCAGAGATGGGCAGGCACCAATAAGGTACACCAGGTCATTGCTTCACCCCAGGTCACTCAGAAATCCTAGAACCCATAGCATAGGACACAAATGACTCATTGTTTTTCTGCTTCAACCACAGCAAGCCTACTTAGAATACAAAGCACATTTTATGAGAGAAAGCTGCCACCCCAGGCCACAGCCACGCATTCCTGCAGCCTGGGTGAATCACAGGATTGCTTCCTGGTTGGTCAATCTCACTTTAAATGTTTGAGGATAAAAAGCAGCAACAGCACAATAAACCTTGTGATTCATTCATCTGACACAGGGATGACAGGGAAACTTTTGAGGGCAGGGCCCCCCAACTCCCACCATTTCGTTAACCCTTTTTACCTGAAGGCATGTTGGGGTTTTGCCACCCCCACTCTTGCTGGACCCTGCGGAAGGGATGCTGGTGGGCTTCCAGTCCCCACGGCGAGAGACGCCTCCTTCCAGGCGTCAGTGGGGCCTGCCACCAGAGGAACGCAGGGGCCTCAGGTGGGCAACAACTTTTCTGATACCCATGAGAAAGCAGGAGAGTGGGAGAGACGACTATTTCCATTGCGTGGGGAGGCGGGACCAGGAGGGGGCACCCCGATGGGGCCACTTTGTCCCCTGGCCTGCCACCTCTGGCCACTTGCCCAGCATGACACCCCTCAGGAGAGGGTTTGGGGCTCCCTGCCAGGTCTGCTGTGCTCTGTTCTCCCAGACCCAGTTACCCCAGAGATAACTGAACAGACGGGGGCACAGGCTGCTGCCTAATCACACTGGGTGCGCGCGATGTCTGAATATATTGACAAGGCGGCAAGATGGAGCTGGCGGCTCGGAACGATATCCCATGAGCCTGGCTGCTGGATCTGATAAGGTGGCCACATGAGGTAATTATACTGGAGTTTCAGGGTGGTGTGTTTGGGAATGTAGGAGGCTCGGTGATCTCTCCCTCAGGGCTTCATGGAATACCTGACCGACTTGTCCACCTTGAGGAAGTGAGGAAACCCCAGAAGCTGCAATCTTGAGGCATTGCCTTCGTCTCAGCCTGGGTCTGGGAAGCTCCTCTGGGGATGTGACCTCTGAACTTACCTTAGTGAGGGGTGACTTCTCAGTGGTGGCTGCGTCAGGGGGCTTGTTTTCGCCAAGCTTCAAGCCCAGTCCCCTCTGGGACTAATCCCACCATGTTCTGAATGCTGGGGCATCTCCAGGATGGCATCAATGGCAGGCCAGGAGTGGGGAAAGACCAACCTCCGGGGAAGGCGAGGGCTGAATAAAGGAGGAGGAATGGAGGGTGTCCTACAGAGGTGCTGACTCTACATCCAGGAGGCTGGAAGTGACTGGAAAGAGGAAATGGGCAGCCTCCCTCCAGAGGCTTGCAAAGAAGGAGTCTTCTGCCTATTCAAAGAGGCATCTGGTTACGATAGAAGAGAGGTTCCTGCACTTAGAGTGCAAAGGGTTAGGGGAGGGGGAGAGAGAGAGAGAGAGAGGGAGAGAGAGAGAGAGACCTGTTGGTTGCCTCCTGCACACACCTGGACAGGTATGCAACCTGCAACCCAGGTATGTAACCTTGGCTGGGAATCGAACCTATGACCCTCTGGTGCTAGGCCAACACTCTAACTCCTGAGCCACACAGGCCAGGGCTGTTTTTTGTTTTGTTTTGTGTTTTGTGGGTTTTGTTGTTGTTGTTTTAAATCTAACATCAATTCTTAACCTGGAGGGAGCAAGTGAGCCCCTTGGAAATCTAACCATTCATGGGACAGGCCTCTATCAGGCACCTACTACATGCCAGGACTGTGAGCATATGTGTGACTGGATGTACATATGCATTTCCCTGTTCTCATCAGCTTCTCAAAAGGGGACTACAGCTCCCCCAAGGCTAAGAACCTCTGCCCCCCCTGTTTGCCACAGGAAGGGGTTGGGTCAGATGGAGAAGGAAGTGGGGCGAGGTGGGGACCCAGACACCCCCTTCTTTTGCTTGCTCAGCATTCATTTCCTTTGGGAAATATAATCAAATCTTTCAAAGGCAGTGATTGTGAGGAATCGAATACCTCCATGGCAAATTTTACTCATAGGAGCTGAGAAGAAAAAAATTCTGAGATGTTCTAAATTAATTCACAGTGGCCAGAGAGAGAGAAAGAGACGGAACTGTTAGTCTATTAATGGCTGCTGACCGGCTAGCGTAAGACCTCTCATGTTCCTGTTTTGCTAGTTGGAATTTTGTAATGATTTCCAGGTGGCTGTTTCCGCAGGTTATTTCGGTCAGGCCCCCTCTCACTCCAGGAGCGCGCACCCTCCCCCTGCTTGTTTACAAGAGGGCTTTCCGGGCCGCTGCTCCCAGCCAACCTATAGGAGTGGGCATTTCTTTATGTGGGCTCAGCCGTCCCAGAGCAGGCCCTCCTTACCTTCCCCCACCCCTTCCCCTGTAGCTCAGGTAACTTCTTTCAGACTGCCTCTTTCTTCTCCCTCCCCCCTACTCGATCAATAAAAAGCTTGCAAGACTCTGGGCAGGGGGGTGCTGTCCATTCCACGCAGCCATGCTCCTGGTGGTTTGGACTCCCTGCCCCAAGGCCGGTCTTTGACTAGCAGTTCTGGCTGAGGAAAACCTTACCTACAAAAAGACTTTCAGGTAACATGGAAGTTAAAAATTTTCAGTTTAACAGAGCAGAGGGATGTAGTTGGGATATATAACTGGAAAGATGCTGGACCTAGAGTCAGAAGACCTGGGTTCGAATCCTGCCTCCGCCATTTATTAGTAGAGCGATTAGCATGTTATCCTGAGACCTCTGATGCAGAAGGTTGAGTTAATTAGGCGCTTCAGATAATAGTTAAAACCCCCACCTCAGAACCACTCCATGGTTCATATCCCCGGGCTTGTCTTTATCAAGATGGCATCCCCTGGTAACCTCCATTTCTGTATGCCACCATCTGCTCACCGTTTCCTATTTATTCAACTTACTATCTCTAGTCCACCAGCAATTGCTCCTAAAGTCCATTGATCCTACGCTTTTTTCAGGGCTTCTCACACCTCCCCACCTTGTCCTCACTTCCATCTTTACTGAGCCCAGATTTCACTGGCTATCGTGGCAACCACTCCCTTGCCTACAAAGCTGGCTCCCTTTTACCTCTCTGCCTTCATCAGGTTTGCCCAGCAAATCCCCATCCTGGTTAAATCCCTCTAACCATCTTCTCCCCACCTGCACCTGAATTGGCTAGAGAACAAACTGAATAAATACAATACCAAACAAAATGCATTCAAATACTTTCTTTAAAAAAAAAAAATCAATTTTAAAGGCCTTCTATTCAGGCTAATGACAAATACAATAAAGAGAGATAAGCTAGCTTAACATAATTGGCTGATTTTATACAGCACTTATATCTTTTAGTCCACAAGTATATTATTAAATGATAGAGAACATCTAATACAACCATTTCTACAAAACTAGAAACTAATTTTCTAAAAAGATTGATTTTACAGACTCCATCTTTTATATCCAGCCCCAGCAGTCTAACTCTAAAGAGCATAAAGCCAATGACATCCTTCACAAGAGCTCATAGCTAAAGTCGATATGCTATCAAAATCTGCATTTCTGATCCGTTATGAGCATTGAGACAAGATTCAAATATTCCCAAAGAAAGAAGCACAATGCATTTTGGATCACCTATTCAGCAATAGCGAGCACTGCATCCAAAACCATCTCATCCCAGGAATTATATAAGGTCAGCCACATTCATTGGCATTTCCTCCACTGCAGTACTGTAGAAAGTCTCGATGTCATGAGGAATCCTCTTGTCTTCTTCAGTAACAAAGTTTATAGCGACACCTTTCCTCCCAAATTGACTCCTCTGCCAATTCTGTGAATGTGGTTTTCACGATTGGTAGGTAGATCATAGTTTATAACCAATGACACTTGTTGTACATCATTCCCACAAGCCAACAAGTCAGTAGTGATCAGAACACAGCTTGACCCTGATCAGAATTCTTTCATGATAATATCTCTTTCCTTCTGGTCCATGTCACCATGCAGAACAGAAACTGTGAAGTCCCTGGGATGCATTTTCTCAGTGAGCCAGTCCACCTTGGGCCCTATATTGAGAAAAACAATATAATCGTGTCTCGTACAAGTCACAAAGAGTGTCCAACTTTCATTCCTCTCTTTCAACATTAATATAAAACTGTTTGATTCTTTCAAGGGTCAATTCTTCCTTTTTCACCGGAATTCGAATTGGATCTCTCATGAATTTTCTTGGTTACTTCCAACACATCAGTTGGCATCTTGGCAGAAAGCAACACAACCTGAATACTTGTATTTAATTTTTGGAAAATCTTGTAGATTTGATCCTTAAATCCCTGCCTCAACATTTTATCTGCTTCATCCAAAACAAACATTTTGATCCATTTTGGAGAAAGATATTTTCTGTTTAACATATCGAACACTCTCCCTGTTTACCAACAACAACATGTGGTACTTCTGCTTCCAGTTTTTGCATTTCATTGCGAACATTGGTTCCACCAATGCAGGCATGATAAGTTGCTCCCATGTAGTCTCCAAGTGCCAGAATTACCTTTTGGATCTTCAATACACGGAATAATAGCTCTCTGCTGAATAGCTGAAGGCTTCTCAAAACCATTAGCATAGATGCCTGGAAGAAGAGACTCCTTTAAATTCATATCATCGAAGTTATCAACAATCTCATTCCAGTTGCTCTTGATGACACCATCAGGGTCTATTCCCTCTGGGCCACCACGTTCTCTGTTATAATCTGCAGAGCCACCAGACATGTTTTGAAAAACCACTCAGCGCCCGACTGAAAAACCATTGGTTGCTTCTTGTATGTGCCCTCACTGGGAATCAAACCTGTAACCTTGGCATATTGGGGCGATGCTCTAACCAACTGAGCTACCTGGCCAGAGTCTCTCTGCTCCTTTTATAGCAAAATTCTTTGAAGAAGTGGTCACCACTTCCTCTGTTCCCATACTTGGTGCATTGTCCAGTCAGGCATTTGTCCCCAACACCAGTGAAACTGCTCTTGCCAGAGTCACCAGTGACTTCTTTGTGGCCAATTTCAAAGTCAGTTCTCAGTCTGTATCTCAGTTGACTTATCACTAGCATTTGATGTAGCTGACCAAGCCCTTGCCCTTGAAATACTTTCTTCTCTGGCCTCCAGGAAACCTCTCTCACATGTCTCCCTCCCACCATGCTGCTGGCCATGCCTCAGTCTCCTGTCCTGCTTCTCCCCCTTCTCCTCCAGCTGTGCTCCAGGGCTCAGCCTCAGCCCTCTCTCTCTACACCTAGATGACTAGCTTTAAAAATCATCCACATTTTGCGGCTTCCCAAATTTATATTTCAAGACTTTATCTCCCCCTGCATTCTGGCCAAATTTATGCTACTGCCTACTTAGGATGCTGCCTGGATGTCTCATAGACATCTCACATCTAACGTCCAAAACTGAGGTCCTGATTGCCCTCCCAAAACTGTCCCTTCAGGAGTCTTCCTACTTAAGTAAATGACAACGCCATCCTACTAGCTGCCCAGGACAAAACTTTGGAGATTTTCACCTTTAATATATATCTAGAACCTGAGCATTTCTCCCCATTTCTACCTGAGCACCCTGAGGCTATGCTCCCTCTCTCCTGGATGATAGCAACAGCTTCCCAGTTGGCCTCCCTGCTTCTACCCTGGCCTCCTCTCACCCATTCTTTTCACAGAAGCCATAGAAGGAGAATCCCTCAGTCCTCTGCTTAGATCATCAATGGTTTCCTATCTCATGGAAGGAAGGACCTGATGAGGACCCATGTGAGCTGACAGCCCC